GTTATTTTTTGCTTTATATTTTTACTAACACGTCTATTGCATTAACTGGACTGGATTATATTATGGATTGCATCAGAAATTGTTGATATAATATGTAAATAACAAAAATAAGGTTTTTAAAGCTTTCTAAGCTTTAAGAGAATTAGCCTGGCTTTAATTGAAGGATAGAACATGGTTAAGCGAATAAATTAAAATTTGACGGTATTGATTTCAAGGTGATGATATTTGTGGCTATGATTACTGAATTAAGACATACCGTAGTTATTACTGGATCTTTATGAGAATTTAAATAATATAATATATGGGGATATTTTGTATTTGTTTATGGATGAATCTAATTGGGTGACGTTAATATTAATTATTACAGGAAATACGGTTTGAAATCACCATTATTTTATCATTGTTCCTTTATCGTTATTATTAAGTCTTTACTAATATACATTGAATAATAATGGAAACTTAATGTTGGAGAAATGGAGTGTATTATCGGAGACCATTAAGCGAAAATTTTTGGTTATTGTGCTCGAGGTGATTGAAGCTGACAATGTTAAGGTCAAATATGATGAGATTACGGATTGGTTACTAAGGTTGAACACGATGTGATTTACCTTTTGATTTGATCATAAACAGGAATCCTGGTTTGATTTACCAATTTTTATAGTCTCCTTTTTTTATAAATTAATACTTTTCTAATTTAATTACCCAACGTAACATTGGATATTGTTGGATAAAGAACATTTGGAGATTGAAATATTGAACGATTTTATGAAAGGAAATTTTTGGAGGGATGATAATTTTCATTTTTTATAGCTCAAATTATATTTCGATATCAATGATTATTCAACGATGAAGTTTATTTCATTAAATTACATAATGAGATATTCGATAAATTTCGAGTTTTTGTCTGTTAAAAAAACATAAGTCGAATTTTTTTTTTTAGTTAGATCTAATTAATTTAATATATATAATTTTAATTTACGGCAAAGTTGTGAGTAAACAATAGTATACCTTGTTTACTATTTATTTCCAAGTAAAATAAGGAATTAATTTGGCTATTTAATAAACTGCATTAAAAAAGAATTATTGGCGAAATAAATTTTTTTTTTTTTTTGCATATGAGTACTACACTGATTTTCGGAATGATGGTATTCCTCTGAAATTAGGCTTTTTTCTTCAATAGTATTTCCTTTTGATTGATGTTCGGTTTCTTTGCTTTCTTTTTGGATTTCTACTATTTCCTGATTTAATTGTTTTTCTTCAGTTGATTTTTCTTGCTCAGTAATAAGTTCTGAAAGAAATATGCTAGAACTTCACTTCTCGAATATTTCATGCTTGCGTGGAAATCGATCTTTGGATGTTAGATTAGGTTACATAAACCGAATTATATGTCAAATTCTTCAATACCTAAATATAATATGAGTACACGTGACTTTAATAAATAAAACGTTAATTTTATTTCTGATGAGAAATATAATTCTTTTTTTTTTTAAAAGAGATTCAATAAATTTATGATTATATTATAAGAAGTAATAACTCTTAAATACATAAATTAATTGAACAATTGATGCTTTGATCGTTAGGAAAATAATTATCAATATTAATTTATATAATTAATAGCACTCTTTTCTTTTTTTTTTTGAATTAGTATTTATGATAAAAATATATGAAATTCAATGTTCTAATTTAAAAAATTTTCACAATATTGAAATTTAATTTATTACAGTACCTAGGAAATCCAATTTATATTCTTTTGAAAAATATAAAAAGAAATTAATGAAATTTATTTAATTGAAATGGCTTCAATATTAAGATTTTTTTATTGAGGCATCTTAAACGTTACATTACTTTACCATGAGTATTTCATCGTCTGTTTGCATTTAGATCTTGAATATGGATAGACAGAACGATGTTTGTAATATAAACTACATAGTGCTCCGAGGGCCAAGGTTATTGACTGTGACCCGACACGGGCAGAATATAATATATTCATATGTTTAATATGTAAATAACGGGTTACGACTTATACATTAAGGAAATGAGCGATACTTCGATCTGGTTCTTTAATAATTCAGAAATAAATTTCGAACAGGAAAAGAAGCGTGAAATTTTGAAACATTCACCGCCTTGCATCGTCATATTAGTGTCGATCACTTTTCTGCGTTAGTAATTTTGTTATTTTGAAGAAATTATGGCGCCCGGATTGTCTGGAAAATTTACACGCGCTCTTTTTTTTTTGCAAAGATTGAATTTCATACTGAAGAGACTAACAAATACGTTGACTAAATTATTAACTTAGTGTTTTATCAAATGTGTGATCGTAAAACAGCAACTTTTTTCTTTATCAACGCATGAGTACATCCTGAAAATTCCTACTCAATTCTCGGCTCTATTGAGTTGTGCCATTTAAGAAGTTCTGCTACGACCAGTGGCAACTCGGTTGAGTGATTTAATCCTAACGAAGAATTTTCGCACTCTGAGAATCTATACAATACATGTTAAACGATCCAATCCGATTATAGGTGAATTTATTTTTTTTACATGCGAAATTTAGTAAATTTAATGAATTTAAAAAAAAAATAAAACGAAATATATGGACATGCTTTTAAGTGAGGAAATGATCATACAAAAAAAAATATCGTATTTTATTAATTCAAGAAACAAACTAAGGCGACACAAATCTTTTAACTAAATAAACTCAATGACAGGATTACATAATATGAATTTTGCTTGTTCTGTACACTTTAAACTACAATAAACTAGAATATACGAAACAGATGACGTATAAATAAATCGATAGAACTAAATATTGACCGGTTCTATGGCCTGTTGTAAAAGAAACTTTAATTTTATTTTTATTTTTATTAGTTAATCTTGACGAGCTTACGTGTAGGAAGGTTCCAACTATAAAACAACTTTAAGAAGGTAAGTATCCTTGTAAAGATTTCCGGAATTTGATATACCTATACGAAAATTCTCATATTTTTGACCTATGAAAAATAACTACCGACTTTTTAATAACCTTTTTAAAACAAACTGTCCTATAAGAAAAAATTTATAGGGACACTCTTAAGGACAGCTTTGTATTGATTTTGGGATTTCTTGTTTGATTTATTCTTTCTTTATTACTTTTATCTATGTCCCTATGAGTCCCTATGAAATGTAAAAGTTCTAGGAAAAAATTTGATTTTTTATAGTATGTAAAAGAATATGTGTCAGACACGACAATATTGATGACATCTGAACCAAGGAGAAAACAAAAAAAAAAAAAAATTTATTTATAATAAAGATATTCTTTCCGGCAAAAAATTCACTATTTATAGTTCGGCGGATCTAATTTTACCGATTAATACTCAATTTCGGGATCCATCAACCTTATTTTGCTGTTGACAAT